CTACAGAAGTAGGATTGCCCAACCTTCCTTCCGAGGAGTGGCTGGTGGGTTTGAACCGCCAGCCTTCTGGTGAGCAGTCAAGTGCCTTACTTATTACTTAGGTGCCCATAATACCTTATTTCTTAGGTGACCATAATACCCCCATTTTTCCATCTGTAAAACGGAGATAATGATTCAAACTTCATAGGATTGTAATGTTTGGGACCTGGTAGGCTCTAAAATGTTAGCTATTATAGGTGTAGTATCTAGTGCCTGAGGCATTTGACTGCTAACTAGAAGTCTGGCGTTCAAACCCACCAGCCACTCCTCAGAAGGAAGATTGTGCAATCTACTTCTGTGGAGATACTGCCTCAGAAACCCAAGGAGGGGTCACTATGAGTTGAATCAACTTGATGGCAGTTAGTTTTTTAATATTTGCAATTTTGAAATAAAAAAACAGTTTTATAAACCAAATTTCCAACCTTTTGGTTGTTTGGGTGTATTGACCCTTTGCACCAACAATAACTTTGTTACTGGAGCTGCCAAGGGAAACACTAATGCCAAGCAGAATGGTGAAAAAGGAAGGATCGTTATTTATTTGTGCCAGCGTAGACTCAGTGGATTCATATCCAGAGACTGAGACCTGAACAAAGGCCACATGGGGCTTTTATGGGGTTCTTCTTCTGGGGTATTTGGGGTAAAGGGTGATTGGTTACTTGCAGAAAGTGCACCTGCAGCTAGCAGTTTTTACAGAAGCTAAAAGTGCCCAAGCGGAAGAGAGGAGGGGGAGTATGGGCAGAGGAAGAAGGGAGGTGGAGGAGGGCAGAGGAATTTTCCATTCTCTATATGTGTTTTTTCAAGCTGGCTCCAGCTGGATGTCTCTCTCCTCAACTTGAAAATTTTTTTGTAACTAATTTGACAGCAAAGCCTCATCTAACTAATTTAACATATTAGTAACATATACTAGTCTATTTTTGGTTCTGTACTTGACCTTTTATTAAAGCTCTTTGTAAGTTATGTTTTTAGATGCCATTGAGTCATCTCCAACTCATAGTGACGCTATGTACAACAGAATGAAACACTGCCCGGTCCTGTCCCAGGCTCGCGATCCTTGTGTTCCATCAGTTCCCAGAGGCAGTGCAGCTTTGACTTCTTCCTTCCATGTCATTGGTTCTTGATCATATGCCACCTCTTGAAATGGATGAAAATTGAGCAGATCTTTTTGGTACAGAGACTCTATTTCTTCCATCTTATTTTGATGTTTCCTGCATCATTCAATATATTGCCCATAGACTCTTTTGATATTGCAACTCAAGGCTTCAGTTTCCTCATCAGTTCTGTCAGCTTGAGAAATGCTGAGTGTGTTCTTCCCTTTTGGTATTCTAACCCCAAGTCTTTGCACATTTCATTATAATTGACTTTGTCTTCTCAAGCTTCTTTTTGAAATCTTCTGTTCCGCTCTTTTATCTTGTCATTTCTTCTATTTGCTTTAGCTACCTTCTGTTCAGGGGCAGGTTTCAGAATCTCTTCTGACATCCATTTTGGTCTTTTCTTCCTTTCCTGTCTTTTTAATGACCTTTTGCTTTCTCCATGGTTGATGTTTGTGATGTCATCCCACAATATCTGTGGTTTTTGGTCACTGGTGTTCAGTGCATCAAATCTATTCTTTAGATGATCTCTAAATTCAGGACAGGTATGATCAAGGTCATATTTTGGCTCTCATGGACTTGTTTTAATTGTCTTCAGCTTCAAATTGAACTTGCATATGAGTAGTTGATGGTCTATTACACAGTCTTGTCTTGGTCTGTTCCTGATCTTATTTTGGTTGAAGATATTGAGCTTCTCCATCGTCTCTTACCACAGATGTAGTCAGTCTAATTCCTGTGTACTCCATCTGGTGAAGTCCACGTGGATAGCCCCATTTGTGTTGTTGACAAAAAGTATTTCCAATGAATAAATTGTTGGTCTTACAAAACTCTTATCATTCAATCTCCAGCGTTATTTCTATCACCAAGACCATATTTTCCAACTACCGGTGATTCTGTTTTGTTTCCACCTTTTACATTCCAATCGTCAGTGATAATCAGCATTTCTTGATTGAATGTTTGGTCTTTTTCAGACTTCAGAAGTTGGTAAATGTCTTCAATTTTCTTGTCTTTGGCTTTGGTGGTTGGTATGTAAATTTGAATAATAGTTGTATAACTGGTCTTCCTTGTAGGAATATAGATATTATCCTATCACTGACAGCATTGTACTTCAGCATAGATCTTGAAATATTGTTTGCGATGATGAATGCCATGCCATTCCTCTTCAATTTGTTGTTCCCGGCATAGTAGATCATATGGTTGTCTGATTCAGAATGGCCCAAACCAGTCCATTTCAGCTCACTAATGCCTAGGATATCGATCTTTATGTGTTCCATTTCATTTTTCACAACTTCTAATTTTCCTAGATTCAGACTTCGTACATTCCATGTTCTGATTATTAATGGATGTTTGCAGCTGTTTCTTCTTGTTTTGAGTTGTGCCACATCAGTAAATGGATGTCGTGAACGCTTTGCTCCATTCACCTCATTAGGGTCATCTCTACTGTGTGCAGGCAGCTCTTCCCCAGTCATATTTTGAGTGCCTTTGGACCTGAGGGGCTCTTTTTCCAGCACTATATTGGTCAGTGTTTCAGAGCTATTCATAAAGTTTTCCAGTAATATATCAGACAGTGTTTCACTGCTATTCAAATTGTTTTCACTGGCCAATTGTTTGAGAAGTGGATGGCCTCTTCCTTTTTCTGAGTCTGTCTCAGCAACCGCTCCTATATGACAAATTGACAGACAAGTTCATCTTCCTTAGTTGTTTCAAACTGCTCAGCTCACTTCCTGATCGCCCTCAGCTGCTCCAACCCCGCCGTCTCAGCTTGCTACCTTCCCAGCCTCCCTCAGCCACTCCAAACCCCGCTACGCTGCCTCACTTCTTTCCCGGTCTCCCTCAGATGCTCCAAACTCTGCTGTGCCGCCTCACCTTGTAAATTACAGGTGTTATTTATTATTACTGTTTTTATGATACTTATTGGACTTTATAGTTGAGAGTCTCTCTCATTATTAGAAATAAACTCAGATACCTTAGTATTAACTAATTAATATTAACAATAGTTTCTTTGATTGAATGTTTACTGTGTGCCAGTCACTGTACTAGGTATTTTGTATCTATCATTTATTCTAATACTCCTCTAAGTAGGTAGTACTGATCATGTTTTTAATGTGCTGAAACTAAGGGAGGTCCGGCAGTTTGCCTAACATTACGTGTTCACTAAGTAGCAGTCCTGGAATTCAGACCTCATCTCTCTGACTTCAAGGTTTTTCTTTTCTTTTTTTTTCTGACAACTATACTGCCTGTATAAATTAGAAAAGTTTCATAAGGAAATACAGTGATTGATATGTTAAAGTATATCGTTGTCTTGCTCTTTTTACCTATCATATTAGGTGCTGGAAAACCCCCTATGTTTGGTGATTATGAAGCTCAGAGACACTGGCAAGAAGTTACTTTCAATTTACCAGTCACACAGTGGTATGTATAATTTCAATTTAATTTTGTTGTTCTTAGCCAGTTAACATAGATTATTTGAAAGTATTTTTAAATTTAAAAGGAAAGTATGCTATTTTCTTCATCCTGAGTATCCTCATCTCCTGCATACTGATGCCAGTTATATGTTGCCTTGCATTTTTTAGATCTGTCTTGGAAAGTTCATGATCTGAAAGTTACCCATATACTCAGTTAACAGTTGTAGTATGATACTGTGGTGGTTATGTTTGTGTGTCAACTTGGTTGGGCCTGGTTGAGTGGCTGGGAAGCTGGTGGTAGTTATTCCCCATGATGAGACTGACAGTCAACTCCATGGTAGAATCTACTGTGAGCAGCTGAGTAGCTGCCTTAGGGATGTGGTCTGCTTCTTGTATATAAGGAGAAGTCTTGGGGAACAGTCTCTAGCTTATGGCATACTTGAACCATGCATGTAGCCGTGTTGTTCAGCAGCCTGCCATGCTCTGCAGACCTTGGGACTTTGAATGGACTTGAATTAATGGCCTGCCTTGTGGTTTGGTAACGTTGAGACTATGCCATTTTGTCAACCTTGGGCTTGTCAGCCTCAGCAGCCAGTATCTGCCGAGATGCTTCTAGCTTCAGTGGGCCAGGAGCAAGAGGCAGAGCTGAAGCTCAAGGTCGATGGGCCTTCACAGAGCCCCTAGAGCCTGGCACTTTGAACTTGGGCTTCTAGCCTCCTGAACTGTAAGACAATAAACTCCTGTTTGTTAAGGCCATTCCATTTGTGGAATACAGTCCAGTCAGAGCAGCACTATGTAACCAGAACAGATACTAAATTAGAACTTTTGATGACAGAACAATATAGCATACCTCAGAAGTTCCTCTGGACTTCTGTGGAAAATACCATCATGAGCTAAAATTATTTCTTCTTTCTCCTTTCACCCATACCACTTTTCCCACTAAAAATCACTCTTCTTATAGCCAGAGGTAAGAACAGAAGAGACCCTTGGTAATAGTAATGGCTAAATTTGTGGAGCTGAAAATAGGACTGAGGGAGAAGCCTACAATATTAGGATTTGTTTTCAACTCTGAAACATTCAAATATGTCCCTTTGGTTCAACTGTCTTTGAATGTCTTATATCTAGTATAAAGCATATCATATTATGTGTTGTAGTTATGTGCTGTCGAGTCAGACCTGACTCGTACCGACCCCTCCTTGGGTTTCCGAGGCAGTATCACTACAGAAGTAGATTGCCCGACCTTCCTTCTGAGGAGTGGCTGGTGGGTTTGAACCGCCAGCCTTCTGGTTAGCAGTCAAATGCTTTAGACACTATGCTACCAGAGCTCCATATCATATTATAGATCCTCAATAACTATTTGTTGAATGAATATTTAAGTTCTTTTAACATTAAATTCTTTCTCACACCATCTCATTTCCATAGCTTTTTCTGTGTATTACAAAAGAGAAGGCCAGCTCTGCCCTTCACTGTTTTCATGGTACAGTAAATGTGGAACCTTATGTAGCATAGTACTTAACGTACTTTACTGCTAACAAGATGGCTGGCGGTTCAAACCCACCAGCCACCCCTCAGGTATCACTTCAATAGTGATACTGTCTTGGAAACCCAAGGTGGGGTCCTATGAGTCGTGTCCAACTCGACGGCACATAACAGCAACAACAACATGTTTTTCAGAACTCAGAGAACTTCATAGAATTCTTTAATAATTGTTATTGCTCTTAACTTCATGAGGTGGGGTAATTAGTCTTAATTTTATATACAAGTCTACCTCCAAGTTTTTCCGTGTTTCACTGTTAGGAATGTGTGAGATAAAAAAGCAGTAGCTTAGTGGTGAAGAGTGTAGATAACTTAATTGCCTGACTTCAAATCCTAGCTGTACCATTTACTAGCTGTGTGACCTTTGGCAAATTATTTAACTTTCTGTGCCTCAGCTTTATCATTTATAAAGTAGAGGTAATAAGAATGCATATTTCACTGGGTTATGTTGAGGTTTGAATAAAATGATACGTGTAAAACATTCAGAACAATGACTGGTATATAGTAAGCTCTCAGTAAATATTAGCTATGGCTATAGCTTCACAGAAATTTGTGCCTGTCATTTTTATTGATAATATTCTAATAATATGATATTACTTAATGATCATTGGACACCTGATAGGTTATTCTCTTACAGACTGGCTAACTGTTGATATTGTTCTATTGATAGTTTTGGTCATGCTTTTATATAAGTCCTTTATCAGAGTTTCATACAAGGACTTCATATTGGCTTCACTCAAATTCATATTAATAGTTTGGCCGTATCATAGGTAGAGTTTAGAGTGTTTCAAGTAGAGGTTAGCTAGATATTTGCCACTACTTTTTATTGTTCTTTTTGAGCATCTTCCAGCTCCTCAGACGTTGATTTGCAGAGAGTATCACTGTTTAGATTATTGGTTCATTTTTTATTGTTTCCTTTTAACTTTTTGTTGTGATTTGGGTGAAAGTTTATAGAGAAAACTGGTTTTCCATTCAATAATTCATATGCATTTTGATTTGTGACATTGATTGTAGTCCTCACAGGGTAATAGCACTATTCCCACTTCTTCCCTCCAATCCTTTCCTGCCTTCTGAGCTTTATTACTGGGTAAATGTTGCCCCTTTTGATCTTGTAAGGTTGGTTGTTCTAAGGAGTGATTTCATTCACCTGATAGGCCTGTCTGTTGTTTGGCTGAAAGGTGAGCCATGGGGGTCAGTTCAATTCCAGACTTGAAGGGTGTCAAAGGGCAATAGTCTTGGGGATTCTACCAGTCTTTATCAGACCAGGAATCCTGATTTTTTTATTATGAGTTTTGTTCTACATTTTTCTCCCACTCTATCCAGGACTTTCTGTTGTGATCTCTTTCAGAACAGTCAGCAGTGGTAACCAGACACTATCTAGTTCTTCTGGTTTCAGGGTCGTGAAGGCTGGGGTTCTTTAGTTCTTTGGACTGTTTCCATGCATCTTTGATGGGGAGAGACCAATAGTTGCACCTTAGATGGTTGCTCATGATTATTGTCACACTCTTAATATTTTTTCTTTTGCTTAAAAGGTAGATTAAGGTGACATTTACTGGTGCTTTATTTCTTTAATGCACTCTCCCTTGCTAAAAAGGGGCTAGGAAGTAGCATCTTCTGACCTCTTCTAACTATACGAGAGGAAGACAGAATCACCATGAGCAGCCCAAGAGGCCTGTTCTTATGAAGTCAGACATGCCGCCATCCTCCAGCCCTCTTAAAATCCTTGACACCAACCGTTCCTCTCATGGCACCCACCACCTCTCTGTGAGCTCGATAATTTGCTGCAGTGGCTACATCAAACTCATAGATCATGGAGTTTATTAGGGAAGCAACAGGCTGCAATTCAAGTTCAGGAACACACTTGGAATACAGTTCTTCGGTCAGGGCAGTCTGCCCTCTGCTGTGCCCTTAGACACACCTCTCTGGCCCTTGGCCTCTGCCTCTGTGGGCCAGGTAAGCCTGCCACTCTGTCCTGTGCCTCTTGGTTCCACTGCTGCCATCTCTCTGCTGGGCATCTCCCTCAACTGGCAGTTCCTTCTGCCCCTAGGAGGGCTCATTTTGAGCTTGAAAAAGTGGCAAAACCAACCAATACCAACATCAGTGTTCTACATACCTGAGAGAGAGTGAACTTTCCCAGAAGATTACTTCTTGCTGCTCCAGAAGAAATAACTCCAGATGGATGACTTTAACAGTCAGGAGTTTAAGTTGCATGGTGCCACCCAGTAATCCAGTGGGAGTTACAAAGACTATGGCTAGAAAAGCCATACCATGTACTCCTTACATACACTGTACTCCTTAATGTGAGTTTTTAAATTATAAAATATATGTAACATAAAATTAGCCATCTTAACCTTTTTTTTTCTTTCTGCTTTTGTGTTTTTTTTTTCTCAATTGTGAGTTGGGTGAAAGTTTACAGAGCAAATTTATTTTCCGTGTAACAGTTTGCATACATTTTGTTTCATGACATTAATTACAGTCCCCATAATGGAACAGCTCTCTTCCCATTTCCTCCCTGTGGTCACCTTTTCACTGTGTCCTTCTTTCCTATGCATTCCTGCTATCTCAGCTATCTCTCTGGGCAAATAATGTCCTTCTGATCTTCCATGGTTGATTGTTGTAAGGAGTGTACCTATGTGGTATAATTATTCACCTTATATGCTTGTCTGTTGTTTGGCTAGAAGCTACAGGAGTGAGTTCAAGTCCAGGCCTGAAAAGTGACTGGGGCCATAGTCTTGGAGGTTTCACGGTCTCTGTCAGACCAGTAAGCCTGGACTTTTTTTTTTTTAATGATTTTGAGATTTGTTCCACATTTTTCTCCCACTCTATCCAGGATCTCCTTCATTGTTCCCTTTCTAAGTGGTTGACAGTGGTAGCCAGGCACCATCTAGTTCTTCTGGTCTCAGGATCACATAGGCTGAGGTTTGTATGGTCCGCCAGTCCTTTGGACTAATCGTTTCCATGTGTCTTTGATTGTTTTCATTCTTCTTTGCTTCAGATGAGGAGAGACCAATTGTTGCATCTTAGATGGCTGCTTGTAAGCTTTTAAGACCCTAGTTGCTACTCATGAAAGTAGGATGTAGAACAGTGTTTTTGTGTAGTATATTATGCTAGGTGAGCTAGATGTCCCCTGCCACCATGGTCCTGAGCCCACAGGCCCAACAACTCATTCCCTCAGGGTAGTTGGCTGTGGCTAAGAAGTTATCATAACTTTGCCCCCTGTTAGCTCTATTATATACATCTGGACATTCTTATAAGCACGTACCAATTTGTATATAGAAATATCTTCTGCAAAACTTGTATATGGTCATGGGTATATTCCCTTTTGCCTAGACATAACTGATCATTCAGCCTATCTACCTGTGTATCTACCCATAGATTAATGTTTGTTATTAGTGATAATGTAATTTTGTGTACGTAAAAGCATTTATCTTTGTTATCTGTACCTCTTGTGCACCTCTCTGTGTCTTTCTT